AAAATTAAAACTAAAAGGGGGAAACAAACATGTTTGGGGTTTTTTTTGTACCAACAGAAAGAAAAAAGACTAATGAAAATAGACATTTTCAGTAGTAAATGTGGAAGTAACACTGAGCATTGTAAAGCATTAGATAAAGGTGTCACTGTATCAATTGTGATTTGTTGTTGTTGTTGTTGTTGTTTTACCATAACGGGGTTTGAACTCAGGGTATCACGATTCCCAAGCAGGCACTCTAACTGCTGAGCCAGGCCACCAGCCCCAATTTTTGCTGGTTACTTTTTTGTTGTTGTTGTTTGGTTGGTTTTTTAAAATTTTCTATTGTAAAGATTCTATACAGAGGGTTAACAGTTACATCAGCAAGGTAATGAGTACACTTCCTATTGAGCATTGTTACCCCCTCCATTGTTTTCCCCCTACCATCCCTTCCCTCCCTACCTTCCCCGAGGTCCTTTTTTTTTCTAATTGTGATTAAGTGATTACATAATTTCCCAAATTTCACAGTATTGTGGAATAATGATGCTCATTTAAAGTCACAAGTTCATTCTTGCTGGTTACTTTTGAAATAGGTTTTCATTTCCTCCCTGGGGCTGTGCCCGGGCTCAGCTCAGCTATGTTAGGCTTCTAGGTAGCTAAGATAGCAGGCACACACCGATATGTCCAGCTTTTTGTTAAGAAGGGGTCTTAGAAACATTTTTCTACACTGCTGGCCTCAAACTACTGGCTCCCAACTGCAAAATTAAGTCTTAATACATCAGTAGTTACCAAATAAGCACAAATGCTCTAGAAATGGAGGAAATAAAACAACCAAACCATGTGTGATTTCCTGTAAATACTCCAAAAAGCAGAAACACACATAAATATGGAAACTAAAAGAAAAGAAAAAAAGATTTACCTGATGGCAAGTATGATCCAAAAGGAAGACATAACAAAATAGAACTGAGAGTTAATTTTAAAAAAAACATAAAAGACAAAAGATACTTGTATAGTAATATTTGAATAATAGGAAAGAATAAATTAAAAAGACATAGTAATCATAAACAAGCCCAGTCATACAACAACTGAGGTAGATGAGTTATTTAAACTTATTATTTACCTACTAGTGCCACAAGGAAATGAACTCATGACCTCACACTTACTGGGCTGATGCTCTACCACTCTACCACTTGAACCACAGCTTTACTTCTGGCTTTTTAGTGGTTAATTAGAGATAAAACTCTCACAGGCTTTCCTTTCCTGAGTTGGCTTCAAACTGAGATTCTCAGATCTCAGCCTCTGGTATAGCTAGGATTACAGGTGGCAACCAGCTAAGATCAAAGAGCTTGAAAGTCAGCATAATTGTTATTTAACTTCAAGTTCATTGGCAAAGCCTAATAAGTAAGAAACTGATTGTGCTGTCCAGATTAAAAAAAAATTACTAATGAGACTAAAAATTTACTAAAATGCTCCATCCTGGATTTAAGGCAGGAGGTTGGGAATTAGTAAGGAAATAGAAGGATCTTTTGTGGGAAAATGAATGAAATTTGAATATGTATTGTGGATTATACAATAATCCTATATCCAAGCTAAATGTCCTGAATGTGATCATTCTTTTTGGAAGAGCAATGTCAGATTCTTGGGAAATATGTGGAAATATTTAGTACTAGAAGGGTATAATGTTTGCTGTTGACACTAAAATGGTTAGGGGAAAGATGAGAAGGGAAAAATAAATCAAGTAGGGTATAATGACTAATCTTTTAAAAATCTGGACAAAGTTTCCATGTGAACATACAATATTTCTTCATCTCTCCTTCTCTCTCCTTGTTTTTCCTCTTTCTGTCCCTTCTTTTTATTCTTCTTTCTTTTTTTATCTGATTACCTTCTGCATGAGCATTCTTCTACTAAGCTACCCTCCCAGCCCAAGAATCTTTGTATGATTGTAACTTTTCTATATGTTTGAAACAGTTTCAAAATAAAATTTCAAGAGGTCACAATTTTTGAGTTAAAGGAAAAACAATGTAATGAAGTACATAAATAACACTTAGAACTGAGTTTCAATTAAAATTCTACATGTGAAAATTAAGTAAGTATCATTAAAGCAGAACTGTGATGAAAGCAGAGGGGATTATGTTAAAGAAGAAGGAAATTTTTACCTTTAAATACACTTATCAGGAAACCAAAAGAAAAAAAAAAAAAACATCAACTGAGCTAATGATTTAACTCAGAAGTTAGGTAAAGGCTGGGAAGGTGGCTCAGTGGTAGAGCGCTTGCCTTGCATGTCTGAGGCCCTGGGTTCGATTCCTCAGCACCACATAAGCAAAAATAAAAAAGCCAGAAGTGGCACTGTGGCTCAAGTGGTAGAACGCTAGCCTTGAGCTAAAGAGCTGAGGGACAGCGCCCAGGCCCAGAGTTCAGGCCCCACAACCAGACCCCCCCCCCTCCCCAAAAAAAAAAAGAGAAACTCAAAAAAGGAAGGAAATAATGAAGATAAGAATAGAGATTAGAACTAAAAGCTATAATAGATTAATGAAAATAAAAGCTGGCCTTTAAAAAAATACTTATGTTATTCCAGAAAAGATACTGAGGAACACAATCTGCAGTTCATTGGATAGAGGAATATTTATTACCCAAAAAACGAAATATAAGAGAAGCAAGTTTCATGTCTCTACTTTATAAAATAATAATAATAAATGCAACACCCTAAGTAACTTAAACCAAAGTCAAATAGGGTTTACCCCAGAATGCAAAGATATTTCCTATTTATTTTATTTTATTTTTTTTGTCAGTCATAGGGCTTGAACACTGGGCCTGGGCACTGTCCCCTCTGCTCTTCAGCTCAAGGCTTATGCTCTACCACTTGAGCCACAGCGCCACTTCTGGTTTTCTGGTGGTTTATTGGAAATGAGTCTCCCAGACTGTTCTGCCTGGGCAGGCTTTGAACCTCGATCCTCAGATCTCAGCCTCCTGAGTAACTAGGATTACAGGAGTGAGCTACCGGCGCTCGGCTCCTATTTTTTTTTTAAATAAGTTTCAGGGACTGGGAATGTGGCTTAGTGATAGAGTGCTTGCCTAGCGTCCATGAAGCCCTGAGTTTGATTCCTCTGTACCACATAAAAACGGAAAAAGCTGAAAGTGACACCATGGTTCAAGTGGTAGAGCGCTAGCCTTGAGCACAGAGAGGCTCAAGGACAGTGCCTAGGCCTGAGTTCAAGCCTCAGGACTGGCAAAAAAAAAAAAAAAAAAAAAGAAGGAAAGAAAGAAAGAAAAAAGGAAGTTGGCAGAGTCCACCTAGTCCACTCTCCATTCATGAAACAATCAGGTCTGCACAGTGCGGGGGGGGGGGGGGGGGGGGGGGGGGGGGGGGGGGATGGGGGGGGGGAGGGGGGGGAGGGCTTCCTTCATACTTTGGGGGCAGAAAACAATGCTCTAGAACCACCTCCTAGTTTCAAGTTCTCTTTGGCTTCCTATCAATACACATATTTAAATGAAAGAAACAAACAAGGATTAATGATTCGTCTCAACATTTGTTTACAGAGATCATGTGTCCATAGCCCCTTATTCCCCCTCCACACTCTTCTGTAAGATAAGGCTCCTTCGGTACTTGTGCTCTCTTCTTTCGCATTTCTGGGTGTTGTTTTGTTTTGTTTTTCTTTTGTTTTTACCCTTCCAGCAGTTGAGTTTCCAATTTTTAATTCCCCAAACAATTCCACAACTCAATTTTACGTGTCCAGCCAGTGTCTCCACTGGAAAACAAACAGCACAGAAGTGATGTCTTCTCTAGAGTAGAAATCCCTCCCAAAGCTGGATGTCCTTTGCATTTTGGATAGATGGAAAGAGAAGGATGACTTTCTAGAGAGATATGCAAACTTGGTTAAGGAATTTCAGACTGAGCTACTATATATTTCCACCCTATGGAGAATTTCTTCAAGTTATTTCACACCTCCAAATCTCACTTCCTTGGTCTGACATGGAAGGACAGTTTCTTCTGCTGTTGTGAGAAGAGAATGAGATGTAAATATGAAGTGTTTGGTCCGCTGCTGAGGACATGCGCTCAGGCTATGTTCCTTTCCCCTCTTACAGCATAGAAAAAATAACTCTCTAAAGCTCAAATCTGAAGTCAAGCTCTCGTCTCCTGAATCCTAACTTCCTGAGAGTCCCCTCATGGATTCCGATGAGGATGAAGGAACATGACGCACACCAGCACCTGGTACAAGGCCTGGCCTAGAATCTTGAAGAATAGCTAAGGTCATTCTCGCAGGTTCTCATTACTAGGCCCTGTCCTGAGCCCTTTATAAGTATTGACTTACCTAATCCTCTTAAGACTCCTTATGAGGTGAGTAAGCAGTTAAGACTCCTTCCTTACTTGGTGACTCTATCCTTCCACAGCTTAATTTTTTCTTCTTATGAATTATGACTTCAAAATCTGCCATCAGTGGCTGGAATATGGCTTCGTGGTAGAGTGCATGAAGCCTTGATTTCTATTCCTCAGTACCACATATACACAGAAAAAGCCAGAAGTGACATTGTGGCTCAAGTGGTAGAGTGCTAGCCTTGAACAAAAGAAACTCAGAGAGGGCTGGGAAGGTGGCTCAGTGGTAGAGTGCTTGCCTTGCATGCCTGAGGCCCTGGGTTCGATTCCTCAGCACCATATAAGCAAAAAGAAAAAAGCCAGAAGTGGTGCTGTGGTTCAAATGGTAGAGCACTAACCTTGAGCGGAAGAGGTGAGGGACAGTGCCCAGGCCCAGAGTTCAGGCCCATGACCGGACCCAAAAAACAAACAAACAAAAGAAACTCAGGGACAGTGCCCAGGACCTGAGTTCAAGCCCCAGGACTGGCACACACACACACACACACACACAAAAAAAATGCCACCAACTTCGTGGTGTTTAGATTTTTTTTGGGGGGGGGGGAGGGGTGGGATGGAGAAGGCCCTGACTCCTTTGCTGGAATAGGAAAGGCTAGTTCTCCATTCTACTCTCTCTTATTCTTTCCCCAGGATCTCAGAAAAACACACAGAAAACCAGCATTTTCACCACTTTATTTTACAGGGATGAGCACAAGCCATGCACTGTGCTCTGTGGTGTGGTGGGGCCTTCGGGAGAGCCTTAGACTCCCTCCAGTTATAGTCACCCAAGAAAGACAAACTTACACAGTAAATTTGATCACAGAATATTCCCAATATGAGCCCTTTTAGAGCTGCTATGGTGTACATATGGAGAACTGGAAAAGTCCAAGAATTGAGTGAAGAAATCTTAGGATCCAAGAACATTGGAATATTTTAGACCCTGGGGGACATGGTAGCAACATTAATAGCTGAGATCTCCATCTTACTTGGAGTGGAGGTTGTAGGCTTCTGCCCCTAGGAAATGTGTTGTCCTGCAGAGGAAATAGAAAGGAAATCATAATATCCCAATTGACCCCATAACTTGTCTCTGTAGCCACTCCATACCCAAACCCTGACTATAGTCACATTAGGTCAGCAATGACTAGTACAAAGGAATCACCTGTGGCCACCTCCTCATGGACACTCCAATGTCTATGTTCCCATGTTCTTAACCTATGACAGCATAAATCATGTCCTTCCCTAGATTTTTATAGTAATTCACTCCCTACCACCTTACTAGAAGCATCATTAGCTAAACACAACAACGTTCTTTAATCTTTACTCCCTCTGAAGGACCAGTGAGCAAACAGATAAACAAAGATTTACCTTCTGGATAATTAGATCCAGGGAGAGGAATGTAGCCTAGGAGAGGAAAATCCTTGATTAGACCAGTATAAAAGTGCCCAACATTACTCACAACATGCAGGGTAGGAATAACAGAATGGATCATAGAGAGAAAGCAAGCACAGACTGGGAGCGAGGGTAGGAAAGTTCAAGAGGGTCACTTACTCTTGGAGCCAGCCTTCTGCCAGCTGATGAGACCAAGGGAGAAGATGATTATGCCCACGCCCAGGGTCACTGCAGACACAGAAACCTTTATTGTCTGTATGGGGGACAGTCCCAAGGCTGCAAAAATTAAAAAAGCAGAGACTTACATTGTTTTGTAACTCACTCTTGGAGCCATTTCATTAATTGCAACCTTCACCTAGAGAAGGTTCAAAGGTTCTTTATCTTGGTTCCAGATGTCTGGACCACACCAACGTACTCCCAAGAAAAGGACTTTCCTCAACATCCTATCCTTCTCTACTCCTAGAGAAGCCCTAGGGGCCATACCTTCCCAGAGTAACAGCTCTGCTTTCCCCCCCAATGTGGTTGGGGCTCTCTTTCCTTCCTCCACTCCCAGGATACCCTGGCCAGAATCAGAGGGTCCTCCCTCCCCAACCCACTGCATCCATAGTGTCAACTTGGTCCATCTTATCAACTTACTAGTAACATGTCTCCCCAGCTTTCCAATACTTCTAGTGTGTGAATTATCCCAGTGCTGTGTGTCTTACACTTCCATGGTTCTCGTATATTCTTTCTAAGTTTGTTTCCATCCCACTTCATAGTGCTCCCCCATCCCATTTGCCAGAGCTGGTCTTATTCTAAAGGGTGTGCCACTGGATTCTATTTCCATGTTAAAATGCCTCGTGCACCGCATAAAAGAGACCTACTAGGAGAGCTCGAGTGGACATGTGAGTTCCGGTCTCTACTTGTTCCCCATTCTTCTCACAAATACAACCGCCTCACAGAGGGAGGCGTGGCCTTGGCAGCGAGGCTGACATCCGGCTTCCCTAGCCCTTCCTACTTAACTTTCCTCTTCCTCTCTGCTTTCCCAAGAATCTCCAAATCTGTGCACATGTTCTTTCATTACCTCAAAGTACCCCCAATCCTGGAGTCCGAGCAGAAATATGCCAAGCATGGCCCAGGTGTTTTACCAGCCATGGTTTTACTACCCCATTGTGGTTGATATACCCACTGAAATTCTGTGTAGCCCCACATGAAGAGAAATCCCCCTTTCTTCTTCAATCTTCAGTATTTTCTCAACTCTCATTCCTAAACTTAACAACAGAATAGTTGGACTTTGAGGAGACTAGAATAGTGATTGCCAGTGTTTGGTTTCTGAGAATGTAGTTTCCAAATCTCCATCTTCTTCTTTTTAGAATCGTCATGTGCCCTTCCCACCACCTAACAAAACCACACTATGACTGTGTCAGTGCCTTCCTCTTCCCATTCCTTTATCCTATTGTACTATCTCCAGTCATAAACTCTCCACAAGCTCTTCCAGACTCGCTCCAACTCTTACCATTTGCTCTCTACCACACACACTCGCTCCACAATTCATTCCCTCATTTTGGTGTTTCTTTTCTAACCACTAACTTCTCTATTGTAACCGTAATTCCTTTCATCCACCAGACACTTACACCAGTCCTTAAAGATGGGCTTGGGAATTCCAACATGCTCCACTGCACAGGTGTATGTGTCCCCATAAGAGGGGGTTAAAGCTAAGTGGGAGACGGTCTGGTATGTCCAGTCTCCATTGGGCTGGGCAATCTTCTGGATATTTTGGTGAGGGGCAATAGGCTTTCCATTCTTCATCCATGTGATTGTTATTTCAGCTGGATAGAAACCCCACACATAGCAGGCCAGCATCACAGGCTCCCTCGTGTTAAAAGGAGTGGTTTGAGCGACTTGCACAGATGGTGGACCTGCAGAGGAGAAAATAAATAGGATCCAAAAGAAAGATATTCTAGATTTTGCTTCGACCTATTTTTTTCCCATGTCAACTCTTCATAGATTTCCCAATCTACTTTATCGCACTCACATCCCCTAGCAAGCCACCACTTGAAAATGAGGAGGTAGAACTACTCCAGCTTCCCTGTGTTTTCTCTCTGTCCCTTTCATCACTTTACTTTCTTTTCTTCTCTGAAATTGTGTTTTATCACAACAGGCAAATATCAGATCTGAATTGCAAGCTGTTTTGAAAGTTATTGTGTTAGCCCAGTGCCAGCGGCTCATATCTGTAAATTCTAGCCACGCAGAAGGTTGAGATCTGAAGATCACCATTCAAAGCCAGCCAGGAAGAAATGTCCATGAGACTCTTCACTCCAATTAAATGGCACAAAGCTGGAAGTGGAGCTTGGTTCAGCCTTGAGTAAAAAAAGCTGAGATAATGCCTAGTCCATAAGTTCAAGCCCCAGTATCAGCACAAAAACTCAAAAGAAAGTCATTGTGTTTAGGTCAAATGTACTAATTAGCTTGAAAAGACATAAACCAACAGCAATCCAGGATTGTAAATTGAGATTTGTAAAGGGAGAAAAAAATTTCATCAAATCTTGTCTAGCAAATTAATTTGCTAAATAAAACCTTTCCTACTTGGATCGTTTAAGTAACAAACCTAACTCCGTTACATTTGGAATTGGTGTCATTCAAATTAATAAGATTGTTCATATTGTTATTCTCTTAGGTGACTTTCCTGCCTGCTTCTAGCCTAGATATTTTTTAAGTAAAATGTTACATAAAAATCCAAGAAATTGCCAGGTACCGGTGGCTCACACCTGTATTCCTAACTACACAGGAGGCTGAGACCTGAGGAACATAGTTAAAAGCCAGCCCTGGCAGAAAAGTCCCTGTGAGACTCTGTTCTCCAATTTAACCACTCAAAAACTGTGGCTCAAGAGCACTAGCCTTAAGCACAGAGAGGCTCAGGGACAGCATCCAGGCCCCAAGTTCAAGACCCACAACCACAGAATAAATAAATAAGTTTTTTAAAAATCCAATAAAAATCCAATTATGTGGAAATGCCTATATCTAGCCTATATCCACAGAATTTTTATCCAATGGATGTGCAGAGGTTTAAGACATACAACTTTGCCTTTTGGAGATTTTCAAGTTCACTTTCCTTTCAATCCATTCTCAATACTAGGGAGTCACGGAGAAAGAATATGCATCAGAATCTCCTGGGGGGCTTTCCAATATTCCCACTCCAAATCCAGAACATCAAAATATGGAATAGAGACGCACAAACATTTCGGGAAAAGCCCCTCCAGTTATTTTGTTACCCGGCCATGGCAGTTATACACAGCCTAGATAAACTCAGACTCCCATTCTGAGGTGTTCTGGCCTTACAGGCTCAAATACCACTTCCTCTTTACACCTATTCCTCATCAATCATCTAGTTCAGTCTTCCCTCTTTCTATATTCCAGGCCCACACACTTCCTTTCCTGATCAAAGCTAAATCCCCTTGCTGGCTGAGGGCTCTTCTCTGGCCTCCCCTCTCCTAGCCATGCTTCCAAATAGCCCCTCTGCACCCTCTCTCCTCACGTGTTCTGTGGGTCAGTGACTTCCAGAAGGGCTGGGTATGTGTGGCACAGTCTTGGAGCCCGTTGCTCAAGCGCTCGAGCAGCTCTTTATCTTGATTGAGGAAATTTGCTATGTTTTTGGCCAAATCATTCAGTGTTCCAAATTCACAAGGGGATATTATCCCCTCCTCCGGATTCCAGCAGGCCAGCAGGTCCTTGTTGAAGGAGATACAATACGCAAAGTCCTTGGGAGTCCCATCATCATCCAACAGACAGGTGCTCTCCACATGGGCCACAAAGCCACCTTCTGTATCCAAGGAAGAGAAGACAGGTCAGTGCCTGCTGCTAGTGGAACAAATATTATAACTATTGGGCTGGAAGTGTGGCTCATGGTACAGTATCCACCTGCAAGTTTGAGTTCAAGCACTAGTACTGCCCAAAATAAAAAATAATGGTGTCTGTCTCCATGTCCTAGAAGAATTCCTAAACACTTTTAATTATATGAGTTGGAAAAGGGGATTAGACGCATCCTTTGTTCCAGTTCTTTGACCTAGTTCCCGATAGTGAGTTTCTAATCCTTTGGAATTTGCTGAGTGATAGCAGTGCATTTTGCCTAATGAGATGACTCTTGGTGGGTCACTAAAGGAGGTCAGCTGGTCACCAGAAAGACCAAGCCATGGTTAAAAGCTTGAATATTCTTTCTTCCTTCCTTCCTTTCTTTCTTTCTTTCTTTCTTCCTTCCTTCCTTCCTTTTCTTTCTTTCTTTCTTTCTTTCTTTCTTTCTTTCTTTCTTTCTTTCTTTCTTTCTTTCTTTCTTTCTTTCTTTTCTTCTTTCTTTCTGTCAGTCATGGGGCCTGAACTCTGGGCCTGAGCACTGTCCCTCAGCTCTTCAGCTCAAGGCTAGGCACTTGAGCCACAGTGCCACTTCTGGCTTTTTTTTCTGCTTATGTGGTGCTGAGGAATGGAACCCAGGGCCTCATGCATGCAAGGCAAGCACTCTACCACTGAGCCACCTTTCCAGCCCCTTGAATCTATTATTTCTATCTTCCCATTCTCCAGGAAAGGAGCAGGGAGCCTAGGTGATGAAGCCTCCATAAAAAATCCTTGAACTGGGGCTGGGAAGGTGGCTCAGTGGTAGAGCGCTTGCCTTGCATGCATGAGGCCCTGGGTTCGATTCCTCAGCACCACATAAGCAAAAAGAAAAAAGCTGTGGCTCAAGTGGTAGAGCGCTAGCCTTGAGCTGACAAGCTGAGGGACAGCGCCCAGGCCCAGAGTTCAGGCCTCATGGCCCAACCCCCCCCCCCCAAAAAAAAATCCTTGAACTGCCTGGCACCACTGGCTCACATCTATAATCCTAGCTACTGAGGTAGTTGAGATCTGAAGATCAAGGCTTGAAGCCTGCCCAGGCAAGAAAGTCTGTGAGACTCTTAGCTCCAACTAACCACCAAAAAAGCTGGAAGTGGAGCTGTGGGTCCAGTGGTAGAGAGCTCGTCTTGAGCACAAAAGCTTGGAGTAAGCCCAGGCCCCGAGTTCGAGCCCTAGGACACACACACACACACACACACACACACACTAAAAATCTATGAACTATGAGGTCTTGAGACCTCCTGAGCAAGTAAGCACATCCAGGAGGGTGGCACACTCCAACTCCCAAGGGACAGAGGCTCCTGCAGTTGGGACCCTCCTGAACCGCCCCCATGTGCCTCCGTACCTGGCTATTCCTCTATATCCTCTAATAAATCCTTCACAATATGCCAGCAACAATAAATAAACTATTATCTTAAGTTGTACGAGCCTCAATAGCAAATTATCAAACCCAAGGAAGGAATGGTGGGTGTGGAGCCTCTGGTTCACAGCCAGGATGGAGAAAAGTTGTATATAACCTGGGGGCCCACTGTGTGACTGGCATCTGAAATAGAGTGATCTTGTGGTATTGAACACTTGGCCTCAGGACCATGTTAACTTTGGTTTATGTCATAATTGCATTTGATTATAAGGTATCTAACTGGTATAGAAGAATTTATTGTGGGTGGGTGCACCTATCTGGTACAGAAGGGTTGAGTGTAAGCATGTAGAGAAAACCCAGTCCAGTTAGTTTTCACCATATTCAGCAGGGTAAAACAAGCCTCAGTCGTATTCAGCTAATCTGGCAGAGATTTCTTTTTTTGGGGGGGGGGGCGGGCAGGGGGGATTCCGGTCATGGGGCCTGAACTCTGGGCCTGGGCACTGTCCCTCAGCTCTTCAGCTCAAGGCTAGTGCTCTACCACTTGAGACACAGTGCCACTTCTGGCTTTTTTCTTTTTGCTTATTTGGTGCTGAGGAATCAAACCCAGGGCCTCATGCATGCAAGGCAAGCGCTCTGCCACTGAGCCACCTTCCCAGCCCATGGCAGAGATTTCTTGCATCACACAACATCTACTGACCAAGCTCACAAGCCGATGTCTCTGAGAGCCCCCAAAGAGAGGAATGGATGACAAGCGCAGAAAAACTCTTAAATCCAGTTTTCTAACTTTGTGTGAAACTAAACATACTGGCCTTGGAGCATGCCAAAATTATTTACATATTTAAACAGGACAACTCCAAACACAGACCTCTGTGAAACAAACAAGAGGGAGAAAATGAGTCAAGAGAAACAGTCAGTCTTGTTCTGTGCTGGAAACATCATAAACAATCCACTTCAACACATTTTTCTTTTTTTGAGACAGTATCCTCTCACTAGGCAGCCCAGGATGATCTCAAACTTGAAATTCTCTTGCCTCCACCTCCTGAATTCTGGGATTACAAGCATGCACCACCAAAGACTTGGCCCAGAGGAGCTGGAGATGCAGCAATACAGATGGCAGACATTGTCTTTGGCTTACATTCCAGCAGGAAGTAAACAATTCACAAAGGACTACACAGCCTGATCACTATTACAATCGTCACAAACATATAGCACAGTGCTACAAGTAGAACGCCGTAGGGAGACTCAGAAAAGAATGTCCTTACCTGCTCCTGTGCAGCCCAGGCTGATGCCCAGTAGCACTGGGAGGAGAGTGATCATGCTGGGCTCTGCAAAGACACCAGGAGTTCAGGCCCTTGAACCAGCTTGTGCTGGAGCCTTCGGTCCTCTCCTGCCTTAGAAACCCCAGCCTGAGTAAATGATCTCCACACGCTGTGTAGGTCCCTTGGTCCAAATCTGGGAATAACCTGCCCCTAGATCCCAAACCTATTCATTCCTACCAACTCATTCAAGTCCCAAACTGAAAGTTGTCAGATTAGTTAGATGGGTGGAGACAGACGTAGAGACAAATCACTGAGTACCTTAGTCTAGTATCATCAGTTACTAGGTGAAACTCATCTTGCCCTAGGCTTAAACAACAGGATTTCTGGACTTTCTCTTTCTTACCTCTTTGTGTGTGAAACAACCAACCAATCTGTAGGTGATTTCTAAAGGTCAATGGAGGAAATAACTTCAACACTCCCAAGATATGTGCAGCCTGGATTGCCCACTAGCTTAAATCTGTCCCCTCAATGCTCTTCCAAAAGACTAAGGGCTAGATAACCCCCAATGTCCCTTACAGGGAGGTTCCCTAGGAAGACAGTACACACACCTTGATCTGTCCTGTCACACAGGAAATGGAAGGACATAGGGCCCTTCTGGCTCAGGTGACAAAGGCAGGGCTGCTGAGGAAAAAAGAGGCACAGAGAGAGTGGACAGTTGTTTGGACAAAACACAGACTACAGTAGTTTCACCTTGGAGACCAAGGCCAGGACCTGGAAAATCCCTTCACAAGCCTCCACTGCTTCTTCCGTTTGAGTTGGTCAAGCTTCATTTCCTCCTCAGCTATAATGGCTGTTTTCTGGAGCTAGGAAACCCTATCCTCCCACTCAAAGTCATCTCTGGGGTAGACCACCGGGCAACTCCACTAAAGCCCTTGGGAAAATAGCTGGCCCTAAACCCAAAGCTCACCTGTGTTCCCCTAAACACTCAACTCCCCTGAATGTTTGCCCTACAATCTCTTCTGTTCTGGGGTAGTCTCCTGCTGTATGATAGATAGCACCAGAACAATGAAATGAAGCTTCTTCTTGGGAAAAAAAATACTGCTTTGATTTATTTTTATTTATTTATTTATTTTTTATTTTTGGGTCCGGTCCTGGGGCCTTATCTCTGGGCCTGGGCGCTGTCCCTCAGCTCTTCAGCTCAAAGCTAGCACTCTACCACTTGAGCCACAGCACCACTTCCGGCTTTTTTCTTTTTTCTTATGTGGTGCTGAGAAATCGAACCCAAGGCCTCATGCATGCAAGGCAAGCACTCTACCACTGAGCCACCTTCCCAGCCCATTATTTTATATATATATATATATATATATATATATATAAAACCATATATATATCACCATATATATATATACATATATATCACCATATATGTTTTTTGTTTTTTTTCTTTTTTTGGGGGGGGGGTCCAGTCGTGGGGCCTGAACTCTGGGCCTGGGCGCTATCCCTCAGCTTTCAGCTCAAGGCTAGCGCTCTACCACTTGAGCCACAGCGCCACTTCCAGCTTTCTTCCTTTTGCTTATGTGGTGCTGAGGAATTGAACCCAGGGCCTCAGGCATGCAAGGCAAGCGCTCTACCACTGAGCCACCTTCTCAGCCCACCATATATGTTTTATATATATATGTATATATATGTGTATATATATGTATACATATATATATATATATCACCATACTAGGACTCAAAACAAAACCAGAGCCTCACACAGGCTACCCAAGTACTCTACCACTGAGCTACATCCCCAGCCCTGGAAAGAAAGACAATAAATAGGAATTCTTTTTTTACTCTGTTGTGAACTATATAATTTATCCACTTTTTTCCATCATCATCTTAAAATTCTAAAGTGGCTCACCTCTGCTTCCCAGTAGGCTTTAGGGTTTGGCCTCTTCTCATCTTAGTTTCAGAAAGTTCTTGAATTTAGGGCTGGAAAGTTGGCTTAGTGGTAGAGTGCTTGCCTCGCATGCATGAGGCCCTGGGTTCAATTCCTCTGCACCACATAAACAGAAAAAAAGCCAGAAGTGGTGCTGTGGCTCAAGTGGTAGGGCATTAGCCTTGAGCTGAAGAACTGAAGGACAGTGCCCAAGCCCAGAGTTCAGCCCCCACAACTCAAAGATCAATATTAGGAACCAAAGATTTGCTTTGTGTAGCTAAATGACATTAATGGAAACTTTACTCCTATTCCCTAGCACACCCCCATCCCCAACACTCTGTCACCCACTTAGTTGGGCACTGTAACTCTTCTAAAGAGATGTTAAGTGTTGGGAATGAGTAGAACATGGGGCAGGGAGTCAGAATTTGAGCTTCAATCTAGGAATAGAATAGATACTATTCTAGGTAGGCCCTTTATATGCTCTCTCACATCTTAAAAGATTTGATAATTGTCTTCACAAACAGATCTAGAGATTTACATTTAAGATCTAGAGGCTTTAATTACTTTTTTGTGGTCGTTGTTGGTCATGGGGCCTGTCCCTCAGCTCTTCAGCTCAAAGCTAGAGCTCTACCACTTGAGCCACAGCGCCACTTCTGGCTTTTTCTGCTTATGTGGTACTGAGGAATCGAACCCAGGGCCTCATGCATGCTAGGCAAGCACTCTACCACTGAGCCACCTTCCCAGCCCCTTACTTTTTTTTGGGGGAGGGGGTCCGGTTGTGGGGCCTGAACTCTGGGCCTGGGCACTGTCCCTCAGCTCTTCAGCTCAAGGCTAGTGCTCTACCACTTGAGCCACAGCACCACTTCCAGCTTTTTTCTTTTTGCTTATGTGATGCTGAGGAATCGAACTCAGGGCCTCAGGCATGCAAGGCAAGTACTCTACCATTGAGCCACCTTCCCAGCCCCTTAATTACTTTTTTATGCAACTCCTATACTACTGCTACTACTACTACACTTACAAGTATGGCCCCAGGATTGGGATGTCACAGATAATGAAAGGTAGTGAGACTTCTGTTTTGAGAAGAGGGCCACAATTCATACCCCATCCATCCAAAACTCATCTTTCCTGTGCTCAAAGATCTTTCTGCTCTGAAAGCCACCCTCACTTTTACTTGGTGTTTTCACTGTCTCAACACTATGATTCCACATGCACACACAACACACTTCCTCCTGGCATACCTCCCAGTCCTTCCCTGGTAGGTAGTGAGCCTCCCCCTTGCAAGACTCGGGTCTTGACATGCTTTCCCATGTCTACAAAGGCCAGCCCTGACGAAGGTCCTGGCTCTGTAGGGTTCTGTGCTGTCCCAGAAGTGGTCCTAGCCAGAGGCTGTGGAGCTGAGCAGATCTCTGCTCCAGCAGTCAAAGGAGATGTGAAACCTCTGTGAGGCAGCACAGGAACTGGCAGCAGATCTCACTTCCCTATTCAGGTGAACACCCACAGGAGATTTGTAGAATAAGGCAGGAAAGAAAACCAAAAGTCATGTGCTCAGCAAAGCAATTTCTTCTTTTCCTCCCCGCTTCCCAACCACCATTTTTAGAGATGTAGCTCTTCCTCCCTCCAGCCAATACCAAAGACTATTTCAACTACCCTATCCATCATGGCTTAGGAGGTTGTGATTTCATCAAATTTATGTAGCAGTAGGATCCCTAGCCAGGTTCTCATATGCTGCTCTTCTTGTACAACCATAACTCAAGACTCACAGAGCAATCCTTGGTCTTTCCTGCTGCTTCTTCCCCTACCCTGACCACTACATGCGTGCAAGGGACTAACCCTTGTGTTTGTGTGTACAGCATTACCAGGAATGCCCAAAGCTGAGGGATAGGGACATTGCAGCCAGATCACCTCACCCAAAGTCAGCTGGTGTGTGGGACCCAACACTTCCAGAGAAGATTGATGTTAAAGCTAATAAGCACTGAAGCCAGTGGATTAAAGGGGAAAGAGAAGCCACCCTGGACATGGTGGACGGGCAGCTAAATGGATGGGGCAAACCTAAATACTGGATTCATGTAGGAAAAGAGAAAGACAGCTGGTACTGCAGTCGTGGCCTTCAGCTTCCCAAGCCTGGCAGTGCCAATGCCATGAAAGTCAATGAAGAGCCTGGGCTACTAAAACAAGAATGAGCTTCTAGCGGGACATCAGTGGCTGACACCTGTAATTCTAGCTACTCAAAAGGCAGAGATCTCAGAATCGAGTCTGAAGTTAGCTTGAGCAGAAAAGCATGAGACTCCTATCAAAAAGCTGAAAGTGGAGCTGTGGCTCAAGTAGCAATGCACTAGCCTTGAGTGAAAAAGGTTAAGGGAAAACTCCAAGACCCTGAGATCATTCCCTAGTACCAGCAATTAAAAAATAAATAACAAAAGAGCAAGCCAGGTGCTGGTGGCTCAGGCCTGTAATCCTAGCTACTCAGGAGGCTGAGAGCTGAGGATCGAAGTTCAAAGCCAGCTTGAGCAGGAAAGTCTGTCTGTGAGACTCTTATCTCCAACAAACCACCAGAAAACCGGAAGTGGTGCTATGTGTGGCTCACGTGGAAGAGTGCTCACCTTGAGCACAAAAGCTCAGGGAACAGCACCTAGGACCGGAGTTCAAGACCCATGACCAGGGGCTGGGAAGTGGCTCAGTGGTAGAGCGCTTGCCTTGCATGCCTGAGGCCCTGGGTTCGATTCCTCAGCACCACATAAGCAAAAAGAAAAAAGCCGAAAGTGGCGCTGTGGCTCAAGTGGTAGAGCGCTAGCCTTGGGCTGAAGAGCTGAGGGACAGCACCCAGGCCCAGAGTTCAGGTCCCATGACCGGACCCCCCCCCCAAAAAAAAAAGACCCATGACCAACCAAAAAAAAAAAAAGAGCTATGATTTCCTCGCTGGAGTTGCACATTAAAGGAAGTCACAAATGTAGTCACACTTTTCCTAAGAATATGGCCATAGGAATATAAAATCCCTTCTAGACAAGTCCCAAAATCGCTTAAGTTCTTAGAATCTTCTTCTGGAAATGTAGTTTTAACTCAAGCCTCCATTTTATAAACAGGAAAAAAATGTCAGTCAATCATTTGCAATCTAAAACTGACAGCAAGAGACCACAGAGTTTCGACAGCCAAAATTAAATAATTCTCTTCAGAGAAGGAATTGTATGCAAATTTAACTGATGAGTTGTGAACTAAAAAAACACATTTGTGATATCTATGCTGGCCTGAGATTATTACATAGAATATCCTCACAATTCAGACGAAAAAGGCAGAAAAGGTAATTTAATCAATAGCCTGATCAGGCCCTGGTAGTTCACG